TCAGCCAATTTTTTACCCATCCAACTGTGCAGGCATCAATGCCACAGTCACTTAATTTATTGATGAGGATGGGGTGAGAGACAGTGTCAAAGGCCTTCTTAAAGTCTAGAAAGACTACGTCCACAGTGACACCATCATCCAAGGATTTAGTTACTTAGTCATAAAAGGCAATCAGGTTGGTCTGGCAGGACCTGCCTTTGGTGAACCCATGCTGATTGCCCCTGATCATGATCTCCCCTGCAGGCCCCCACAGATATGCTCCTTGATGCTCCTCTCCCGAGCTTCCCTAATGATTAGTATAATGGGATTGAATGCATGGATAGCTAATTTACAGATGAAACCAAATTGGGTGGAATAGCAGACACTCTGGAGAGTAGGGCTAGGATCTGGAATGACTTCAGTAGACTAGAAAAATGTTCTGCAATCAGATGAGACTCAACAAGGACAAACTTCAAGTAATGCACTTGGGACAGAATAATTGCATGCACAAATACAGACTGGGGAAATACTGGCTAGGCTGCAGTACTGTAAAGAAGGGCCAGGGGTTACAGAGGACTATTAGCTGAATATGAGACAAAGGTATCTTCTTACAAAATATGACAAGAGTATATTGGAGGAATAGGATTGTCGCTTACAAATCAAGTGAAGTGATTCTTTTGCTCTACTGAGCACTGGTGAGGCCTCACTTGAAGTACTATGTCCATTTTGGGTCCCACATCTAAGGAAGGATATAGACAGATTGGAAAGAGTCTTGACAAAAATTATTAGAGATCTGAGATAGAAAATTGTGAGGAAAGGCTGAAAGAACTAGGGTTATTTAGTCTTCTTTTCTCCAGACTAAGGAGGGATTTGATAATAGTCTTCAAACAGCTGAAAAATTATTATATAGTAGTATGTGGCCATAGAGGACAGGACTAGTGCAATGGTCTCAAGGTGCAGCAGGGGAAATTTAGGTTGGAGATTAGGAGGACATATTTGACCCTGAGGGTGGTCAAGCATTAGAGCAGGCTACCTAGAAAAACTGTGCAATCCCCTTCCCTGGAAATTTTCAAGAGCAGGTTGGACAGATATTTACTAGGATGGTTTAGTCAGTGATGATCCTGCCTTGAGCAGAAGGCTGAACTAAATACTCTTGCAATGTCTCTTCCAGTCATATTTCCCTATAATCCTGATTGCTTCTCCTTTAAACATTCATAAGCCTCAAATTTTCAATCCATACCTATATGGAAGGAGAGCAAAGAAATTTGCAGACACTTCACAATTTTGAACAAGTGACACTAAGTAAGATCAGAAGTGGATGGAAACAAGGAAGGAACTACCTGTTAAGGGAACTGATTCTTCAAAACACTGAAAATCCTACAAAATCCTACAAAATCTCAGTGCTTTCAATTACTTTTGACATCAGTGGGAATGGAGGTGTTTATCTGACATAAAGGGAACTACAACTAGTCTATTTATACCACTCATTTTCTGACCGGCTCTTTTGATAACACAATAAGGAAAACATACTATGTAACATATAACCTGGTGATGCAGTGACAGATATAATACAACATGGCATATTGGTGGTATTAGCAACTGACAGGAATACCAGAGATTGCTCTTTAGGATTGCTCACATCAGCTATCAATTTTCAGAGATTTGTGAGGAAATTAGGAAAGTAGGCAGTTTTAAACACAAAGATAAAAACATTCACCATATCCTTGGGAAACATTTTGTTGTGATGAAAGAATAGCTGTGCGAGTCCTGCATGGCTTGCATGCCAAAACCAATTCATAAACAGATGTATAGCCACAGATTCACAATAGCAACAGGACAATTATGAAAAGAAGTACCATAAAATAGCCTGTTTTTGCCAGTTTCTTGAACTAAAGATGTTGAATTTACTGCCGTTGTTGCTATGGACAAGACACTGAGTTAAATAAATCAGAGAGACTGTGCTGGTGACTGAAATCTTTTAGTCTTCACGGGTTTAAGCACACATTGCAAGCTTCCTTGAAGGTTAGGTCAGCGTGCCTCAATCTCATCCACAGGGATCATCAGTTAATTCCCAATGGCTACAAACAATCCTAATACAGACATCTGTCTTCTAGCAACTAATATGAAATAAACAAGTCACTTCCTTCCGGGCACTGAATAACTAGGAGATAAATATTCACTATTTATGCCAACTGATTCATATCAATGTCCTATAATGAAAGTTTTGTATTCCATTTCTAGTCCCTCAAGCTTTCAATTTCCTATATAAAACTTAAATGAAAAGGCATTACTGTTACTGATATTTTTCACATTTATAACACCTTTCATCTCAAAATCCTGTATCACGGAGAATATATGGAATTATACTCTGAACTAGTTGAAGCTTCCATATGGGTCTGTAAGTGTAACCCTATGGTAGAACATTCCAGGAACTTTATATACAAAAGACCAGATAAAATAATCCTAATATGAAATTGCAACAAGCATCCTTTGCTAATCCCACCTGCCTATTTTAGGCCCATATGGAATATTTCTCAAGTATATGGACCAAAAACATACAAAAATATTGAAACATCTTCAAATAGCATAAAAATGGCTGTCACCGCAAAACAAAAACAAATTCCTTATGCTAGGTGTGTCCCCCTAAAAATATTCATCAGATGACTGCTAATAGAACTTGACATTATCCAAGGACATGTATGAGCCATAAATGCACACAGAGTTGCATCACCCTTTTAAAACTCTTTTAAAAAATATTTTAAAATGTGATTTACTTTAAGGAGGATATATTTTACACTTACTGTCTTTCCTTTTGTAAGACATCCTGAGTCTCATCCAAATGCAAATGCAAGGCAGAAACAGATATCGATTCATTCTCTAGAGGCTGGGCTATGCTTTCCATCCTTTGCCTAGGCTTTTCGTGACATCTGCCAAGAGATCCTTCAATCAAGGAGTCATGAAGCTGTAGACTGAATCTTGTATCTTGATTGTCTCTTATCATGTCTTCAGTAATTTTCATATCCTGAGGAAAGGAAGGAGCAAAACAAACCAAAAAAAAAGTGAAGATATGATATCCTAAGCTTAAAAAGGCAGCCATTTATGGGATAAGTAATGTCAATATGAAGTCTGAAGGGCCTGCCATGGCATAAGCACATACTGCCACACAGGAAGAATAATATCAGGGGCTCTTGCACATCAGGAAAAGATGAACATAAGAACTACTATTTACTGGGTCAGACCATAGGTCCATCTTGCCCAGTATCCTGTGTGACACAATGGCCGAGAGTAGATGCTGAAAGGGAGCTGGGTATGACCAGGATTTTTTTCCACTGTTCCTCTCTCACTTGCAGCCTCCAGCATTTAAGGTATAGGAAGTTAAAATTCATAGGATGTATCCCTAACTCCCATGCTCAATAGCTACCAATGTCCCTTTCTTCCAGGTCTATGTCCAATACGTGTCTGAATCTGGCTAAACTGTCAGCTTCCACAACACCTGGTGGCAATGAGTTCCACACCTAAATTACACGCAATGTGAAAAGTAATTTCCTTTTATTAGTTTTTGATCCATACCAAATGTTTTTAGTAATGTCCTTGACTGGGACACTAAATCAGCTGGTGTGTCAGACAGCACTCTGGGCACCTGTACACGTGACAGGGATTTAATCCCCAAGGTTTTATTCTATGCCCCCTAAATCGAAACAGTGGGGCATAAAATAAAACCCTGAGAACTAAACCATTTCAATTTTTCTGTCACATTATGGTGAGGATCCCAATCCTTTTTCTTTTTTTTTTGGAGCCAGAGCCTGCCCATGGCTGGGAAGAAGATGAGCTGCTGGAGGGCCGAGTGGATCCCGAGCTGTAGGGGACCCTAGTCCTACCCTCCATGGCAGCAGTGCCCCCTGGAGCCACCTAGTGGGATGGGTGCTGCCCCACCTTGGAGGCAGCACCGGCCCAGATCCAACTCTTCCTGAGCCTGCCAGGGCTCCCAGTGCCCTGTGCACTGTCCCCACTGACGTCCCACCATCTGGGACTGCCCAGAAACAGGCTGGCTTGCCCCTGGGGCAGCTCAGGGAGGCAGCATGAGGGCGGTTGGGTGTGCTGGCTGCCAGGCAGCAGAGATGGCACACAGGATGTGGGAAGCCTGGGTGGGCTTGGGGAAGCTTGGGCTCAGCAGGCTTCTTGTGTTCTGTGCACCGTCTCCACTGCCCTCTCTGGCCACCAGCATACTCAGGCGCCCACCTGCCACCTTCCCGTGCTGCCCCAGGGCAAGCCAGCCCATTCCTGGGTAGTCCCAGGCAATGGGGACAGTGCATGGGGCACTGAAGCTACTCAGGGAATAGTTGGATTGGGCCAGGTGCTGCCTTAAGCTGGGGCAGCACCCGGCCTGCTAGCAATCCACTTGAGTGGCCCTGGGGGGTGCCACTACTGTGGAGGGAAGGATGAGGGCCTCCTGCAGCTCAGGGGGCTCCTCGGCCCGCTGGCAACTTGCCCCCCAGTTGCAGGCAGGCTCAGCCAAAAAAAAGGATTGGGCCCCTTGCTGCTTCTGCCTGCTGAAGGCAAAAGTGGCAAGGAGCCTGATCCTTTTTTCCAGCAGAGCCTGCCCACCTCTCCTGTGGCCAGGGGGCGAGCTGATAGCTGCATCATTGCAATTTACAAAGTTGCAAACTAAATTATATCTATATGTAGTTTAGTTTGCAATGATGCAAAGTCATTTAAAGCCCCCTAAAATCTTTCATGTGTACACTGTGATGCCATTAAGCCACACAAAGTGACATTTTCATCACGTGTCCATATTAATGGCATCATGTGTACAAGTGCCCTGGATTCCTAAATGATGTAATTAAATTAAGTCAGCTTTGGGACATCAGGTTACATCCCTGTGGAAGGATATGGAGTAAACCTAGCACAGAAAGCTTAAGCCCCACTTACTCACTTCTACAGGACAGAGTTTTGGGAGCAGCAAAGTTCCATTAGTATGGTTTGACACATTCACTTACAGCAGTGGAAAATCATTGGAATGTAGTGATGTATTAAAGTGAGTAGGTATTAGGTTCCCTCACTTGAAAGGGAACAACTTTGCAATGCCACAAGAGCACTTAACACATACTAAAATGCTAGAACATGGATCTGCTTGCATATTAGCTGCAATTGGTAAGTTTTCAGTTAAACATGTCACACCCACCCTCACATGAGCAATTTATACTTGTACAACCTTTTCAGAAAGACCCAGATTTTGCTCTTAAGTGTTTGCTCCAAGTGACATTGAAGTCAATTAGGGTCTTTCTGCTAACCTCATTGGTTTTTGTATCAGGCCCATTTCTGCATGTGCAATATGCATTACCCCTTTTTTAAATCCCTGGTGGCAAAGGGAGGGCATATCATTTGGTTTTTGTTGGCAAAGGATTTTTGATTTTGTGCAAAATTGTAGATACAAATGAGGGGACATTTAAAAAAAATTCTCCCGTTAAGAATACTCATTAAGAATTCCAGTCAGTTCTTAAAGTAATGTAGGTCATCTCAAGATGCAGTGCAAGTCTGGAGAAATCCATTCGTATGAATTTTTTTGACTTACGCCTGAAAGTTGTATTAAATGATTCTCAGGTTAGCTAAATGGACATTCCAGTCAACTAAAATGAACAGGAGCTATAATGCTTTAAATAGCAGATAGTACATTAACCTACACTGATGAAGATGGTAAATAATTTAGAGATATGTTTTCTGCTCACTTCTTCGGGTCCTAGTCCTATGCATGTTAATCTATGTAGTTAACTTGATACATTACATCAAGGTTGTTCAACTGGAGGCTCATTGGCTACATTAAGCCAACAGGCCTTAGTGGCTGCTTCTCCCACTGCCACACAGCAAGGAAGTGACCAGGCGGAGTCTGTATACTCCTGGCACAGCCTGTGAGACAGGATGCCACATGTTTCTGAAACAGGATGATACATGTTTCTGGCACCACCCATGCAGTGGGGCTGGTCTCCTGGGGGTCTGTGTACCACTGGCAAAGTCCAGAGTGAAAGCAGGTAAGGGGCTGCATGCTGTTGATACAGCCCACAAGGGAGGAAGGGTTGGGATCCTGACAGAGCTGCCCTGCAGTGTATGGTCCAGGACTGTGCATTGGCATGGCAAGCAACTCTGGACTACATGAAAGTTGGACAGCTCAACATTAAATCATTTACATTTATTTCAGAAGTAAAGGTATAATATAGGGTTACCATATGTCCAGGTTTTCCCGAACTTGTCATCTTTTTGGATCATCCTGTGCGGGCCAACTTCCGATCACGCCTGGGTCACCATGTGCGAGCTCTCTCCCGATCCCATTTGGGTCGCCATGTGTGAGCCGGGGCGAGCCGGGGACCCGTCTTTGTGTGTACACAGGCTGTGGCCGGTAGCCCGGGTACACGGGGTTGGAAAAGACCGCGTTGCGGTATGACACGCATTAGCTAGAATCAGTCACGGAGGCGTAATGGTTGATTGAAAAGATTATTTACTTACACCCAAGGTGGTCGCGGTGTAGACTGGTCAGCTTTCCAGGCTCAGCTCCGCTTGAGTTCTCGGTGGAAGACTCTAATATACTCGGTTCCTTGACCCCGGAGTGATTCAGGCTCCGCGGGGTTCAAGAATTCGTTCCCACGGAGCAGCTGTATCTCCGTGAGTGTTACTCAGTTCCCAGGTCCCCCGGAGCTGTTAAACTCCGTGGGCTCGACAATTGGGTCCTTAGGATAGGGATACGTCTGGGCTGCAATCGGCGACGGGGAGAGGCTAGAGGTTAGTTGCCTCGGAGTCGTTAAGGCTCCGAGGGGACGGTAAATAAGTCCCGCGGAGTTGTTGAAGCTCCGTGGGTTCGATAAATTAAACCTCTGTTGCCTTCTTAAGGAAAAAGCTGGGTTCGTATGGATCAGCAGCACTTAGAGATCCTCACACTCCTTTCCCGAACTCCACATGCTTTCTCTCTCTCCGACTTGGGCAGAAACTACCCAAGCCTTTTGTACGGCTAGCAAGCCAATCGCTAGCCGCCACGTGTGAATAATTTAATGCAAGCCAATAATGGGGCTCGAATTATAATACAAATGGCGGGGAAC